GATCCAGACCAGCCTGCGCATCCGCGCAGTCTGATCAGGATCCATGCTGTTCGCTATCAGTTTCTCTACTTGTAATAGGTTTGGTAAGCGAACAGCATGGCTCCTGATCAGACTGTGCGGATCCATGCTGGTCGCAAACCCACTATGTTGGTTTTGTCGTGACACGGCTCAAATATAGAATACACTTTTTGATTAAGTTCTACAGCAATTTTGTTTCATATTGTTTTCAACTTTACAAAACAGATTATTTCTGTCCATTTAAATTATATTGGCCTGCAGATCTGGACTTGAAATAACAATAAATTGTAAGGGGCATTGTGCACTTTAGCAAAAAGCTAGTTACGACAATTGTGTACAGAAATGACAAAATCTGTCATGTGTAACACGGGTCAATTACATGGCAAAATATGATTAAACTTGCATTGTTACTATGATCAGTAATTTATTTGTTTTAGTAAAGGTAGAGAGTAAGGTAACACAAATTTATTCAGGCTTTCATAAGAGTTTACATATCTATTTTACAATATCTATATTGCGTTATAATTTTTATGTTTATGTAGAAATAAGAGAAAACTAGAAAAATAAAACACATTTGTATATGAATACTTTGATCGTGTTACTGTATTAATCAAATAATACTTGCAATTGGTTGTTTTTTTATAATACGGCATTAGGTCATATTAGGTTTAGTTATTATCATGAATTATTATATGACCTAAAATAGCTGTAATCTCATTGTTTAAAACAGTTGTCAACAATACTTTTTATAAAATTTATAAAATCATATTCACTGGGTGTAGTATAATATTCACTGGCTGAATTGGATTTTCACAGTCCTAAAATAGATTGAGACTCATATATCGACCATATATCGTAGATTGTTAATTACGCGTGCTTATTAAAAAATAATTGTTGCGTTTTGTTCTTTATGGCATATTTCTCAATTAAAGTATCATTACTTTATTTTTTATAGTTAAAAGTTACACCGCAATGATGATTATAAACTTGTACGCGAAGCGTTCGCGAAGTTGTTGCACGCCTGACACTTGCGTCTTTTTCCCGCGCTTCAACAAAACAGGCAAAAGTTGTACATGTATACGGTTGCACTTTTTGTGATTTTCTTAATTCGTGTAGCCGATCTATATGACAGAACAATTATTTACTAGTGAGCCATTGAACATGATGTGATATTCACCGGCAGAAAATCATATTGACCTCGGCGATATGTCATCTGCCTGTGAATATCACATATGTATACTATTCAATTATTGGTAAATCTGTGCATTGTAATTTGCTTTCAATGGCATAGTAACACTTACATAATTAGTCATTAAGATGTTTGACAGGTTATATGATCATATATAAACTGTTGTTTGTATATAACCCGAGCCGTAAGACGAGAGTTATATTGCAAAAACACAGTTTATATACAGTCATATAACCTGTTAAGAAGCTTTATTACGAATTCATGATACTGCAAACTTTCTTTATTGCAGAAAAAAAAGAGAAATTTATTCATAAATTGACTGCAGACGTGTATACATCACGATTATCCAATGAAAAACGACGTTGCAAACGTGCAGTATCATAAAGAGCATTCTGCATTGAATTTGAACTATTGAACGAAGATCAACATTAAAGATTCTATTTGCACAAAGCCACATAAGTGCAATAACGGGTTAACTCCTATTGAATTTATTAGCAGTTAACCGATTACTGCACTAAGGTGACGAGATGATTAACAAAGCTGAAAAATTGGACAGCTTAACCATTCACAATGTTATGTGATAAAAAAATAACCGTGTTTGAAAACGAAATTTATTTTTCATTGACAATCGATGGTAATTGACAACTTTCATATATATGTTTCAGTTATATCACAGATGACTGTATTACATATATTTCACTAATGAATGTATATGAATCCAAAAAGAACAACCACACGCGTACATTCAGTTATTTTTTTTAATATTGAAATCGATTTCGAACAAATATGTTCTTCGTCAGTGAATAAACAGGAAGTGAATAAACAGGAAGAGACGTCACATGACGTCACCGTCCGAGATGGCGGGAAACATACATTGTTACGTTACGTTATATTAAATTTCATTAAAAATTAATAAAGTTAATAAAGATTTCGATATCTATGTATATAAACATTCACGGATTATGAAATACAAGTATTTCCTATATAAAATACATAAAAAACAATAATAGGAAACAACGTGAATGTTACGTAACGTGTATACATAGAGAATAACATGCTACTGTCTTTTGATATCAATTTTATTAGGCGAGGCTGATATGGGCTAGAAAGGGCGAGGCTTGCCGAGCCCTTTCTGCCCATATCAGCCGAGCCTGATAAAATTGATATCAAAAGACAGTAGCATGTTTTTCTATTTATCATGTAACACATAATAACTGTCAAAATAACAAAATAATCTACTTTTAGATAGCGAAATTCGTTAAAAAGGGGGATTTTTGTTCAAAGAAATAATTCTTGAAAACAAATTCTTCCGCCCCCGAAACTTAGAATTTGTTATTGGCGGCCATTTTTTCTTTCGACTCGGATAAAAGATACAACAGAATGTAGGCCTAATACGATAAAATTCTTACCTTTAATTTAAACATCGATCCAAAAATCCACTTAGAATCACATAAACTAAACTTTACTGCATTTTTTGTCTTGAATTGTCAAATTCAAAAGTTCATGATAATTTCAATCAAAGAAAAGTCAAATCGGCAATCAAACACAAGCTACACAAAAATGCGTCTTATTTTTTAAACGAAACAATTTGTTCACTTATTAAATAATAATCCGGCAAATTAAAGTAAACATTTACAAGTTCTCAAAGAAAATCGCCTGTTTGTTATGATTACATGTATAGTATGACGTGAACATTGATGATGTCATTTGCAATATAAAATATGACGTCACTTCATTTAGTTGGTGCTAAAACTATTCGCTATCTAATTTATTCGTAATTGAAATCGAAATAATAAATATCGCACCTCGATTCAAGACTTGTAAGGGTATGAGGTTACATTGTAGAATTCACATGCTGGTGAAAATGAGAATATAAGCAATTGAAAAAAGTCCGTTAAAATGGGCGGGGCTTATTTTTGATATCAGGTTACTGACCTGATATCAAAAATAATTATCAGGCAAGTGTTATCGGGCAGTTACCATAGTAGTTGCATGATAAATGCATAAAACAGATGAAATATTATATTGGAAAAAGTATATAACCATTTATAATGGAATGTCTACGCAAAAGAACTTACGGAAATAATTAAATGTCGTATATAATTTTTGCATTTAATCCAGCTGGTGAAAACGTCTTAAGCTTATGAATCCAGTAGGTTTCTCTACATAGACGCTCCATTGTGTCGCTGACAATCTCAAACGGTAAAAATGAAAAGTCATTAAATGAATGATCAATTGAATTAAAATGCGTTGCAACAAGAGTTGAAAACGCTGGATCTTTGAAATTTGTAATATCAAATTTATGACTATTCATTCTACGTGAAACCGGTTGAGATGTCTGGCCAACATATTGCATATTGCATTTTTGACAGGAGATTAAATAAATAACATTATTTGTAGAACAGTTTGTAGGGTTTCTCAGTGTATATTTTTCGCCTGTGACACTGCTTGCAAAAGATACATCCGAAGTAATTCGATTACAATGAGAACATCTACTTCTGCTACAAGGAGAAGATGAATGAATTGACATTTGCTTTGAAAAGCTAGAATGCACAATATGATCACGGATATTTTTGGGTCTCTTAAACGCAACAATAGGTTTGTAAGTCTCATAAACATATTTTACAGTTTCACTTTTTGACAACTTTAGTAAGTCCCAATATTTGTTTAAAACGTGACCAATGTTAGGAAGATGAGGATTATAAGTAACAACAAATGGTATGACAGAATTAGATTGGCTACTTTCTGTGAGTCGCAGTGCCTCATTTTGACTCATAGAATTAATTTTCTCAAATGCATTGTCAATTACTTCTTTCGGGTATTCACGTTTCAGAAAAAAGTCTTTCAAAAAAACTAGAGAGTCCTTGAATGTACTGTCATCGGATATTATTCTGCGGTAACGCTTGCCTTGACTGTATGGTATACCATTCTTGCATGCTTTTGGGTGACAAGAGGTATAATGAAGATACTGATGATTATTAGTGTTTTTCACGAATATGTTCGTTGAAAGAGTGCAATTATTTTTGGAAACACGCACATCAAGAAAATCAACACATGAACTGGAAATGGTTTGCGTAAACTTAATCGTCGGATGAAAATCATTTAGATCACGAATGAAATTCTCGAGTTCCTCGCGAGTATCGTCCCAGATTAGAAAAATGTCATCCAGGAAACGTAGCCACAGCGTCGGTTTGATATTTCGTGACTCGATAAAGTCCTTTTCCAGTTTCCCCATGAACAGGGAGGCATATGCTGGCGCCATAGATGATCCCATAGCAGTACCGCACGTTTGCATGAAAAACTCATTATTAAATTCGAAAAAGTTATTTTCAAGAACTATCCGTATAAGATTAGAGAGCACTGGTGTTTGTAAGTTATGATCACTATTTCCTTCATTTAGAAAATATTCACATGCTTTTATGCCGTCAGAGTGCGGAATACATGTATACAGTGAAGATACATCCATTGTAACTAATAATGAGTCTTTGCTTTTCAACTTATTTTTTTTATTTTTTTTTTTTACTAATGAATGTATAACATATTTTTTTCAATAATAGAACGGCTGGTTTCATATATCTAAATATTCACAGCAGAATGATCACATTAATGTCAATGATATCAAAACTGAGTAATTACATAATTAAATATTCAATAATATCAAAACTTACTGATAACATGTATTTTCATTTATATCAAATCTAAGTAAAATAACACATATTTTCAACAATACAAAAGACGACTAACCACAAATATTTTTTAGATAACACAGCTTATTAATTATATATATCTTTAATAATATCAAAGCTAACTCATTAAAAATAACGGTATTTTCAAAAAATATCAGAGCTTACTGAATAGGTATATCTAAAAAAATCACAGCTGATTATTATATTGAAATAATATCACGGCTTACTGATTAAATATGTGTCACAATTTATTGGTTATTTATGTTTGAATAATCTCAAAGCTAATTGATGACATACTTTTTCATTTCACACAGTTTATTTATTCTCATGGTGCACTGACATGACGCACATTTTTATATCGATTTCAATCTAATTCCCAAATCTAACTATATTTAATCGTGAGAATTCCTGACAAATATTGTTTGAATTCTGCATGTAACTTTTATAAGTTATATTATCTGCTAATTGATGACTTACTTGAGTCACGTGAGCTATCTGATGACGCACTCGAGACTCGTAGAGTTTCCCGACTTGATTTCGCGCTCTTTCGATCAGAAGGTTTTCGCTCGTTCTGTTTGTCTATTATTGTGTCGACTTTGTCCATCTGGAATGGTGACGGCGTGTTTGATCTGCTTCCAGTGCGGTTTCCTTTTGCCGACTTTTGTCTCACATCGTTTTTGGTAGATTTCATGATGAAGTTTTTGTTCATGACTTTTCTAAGTAAAATCGACACTTTTCCAATTTCAGTATTCTCAAATTCTACGTTCGAAGGTGAAGCAAAGATTTTACGGAGGTTATTTCTATGCATATTTTGAGCATTTATCATTTCGCCGAAGTCAATTTGTCCGTTCTTGTCTTTATCAAGCCTGGTAAGTAATTGAAGTAAAACATGCTGTTTGACTTGGACTCCAACTCTCAACAGACCTTCGCATAGCTCATTAATACATATCATATCACTTTTGTTTTTATCGAGTGACTTGAAGAAATCTATGAGACGCATATTCTGTAGACGCATACATTCCATGAGGACTGTCAGCGGGTTGCATGATAATAAGGCGATCTCATCATCGTCTGCTGCACTTTGAGACAGCGGTGCCCTCTCTGTCTTCCACACGCTGCCATAAACAACTGTAATATCACGCTCCTTTTTCATTTCTAAGTAGAGCTGCTCAAAGCTATCATGAACTTCCTGATTACCAAAGTCAAGCACGGATATTTTAGATGATGTATTTTCCTTTATATTTTTCAGAATCAAAAGCGCTCCCCTTGTCGTCACCTGGTTCTGGCCAATACGCAGGATCTCTAGTGAAGAATTTTCCTGCAATCCTTTCAATATTTCGGCTATGCAATATTCGGATAATCTATTGCAAACTAAATTCAGCTCAATTAACGTTTCATTCTTCTTTAATGCCCTTGCAATACTGAAAGCTCCGTCCTGATGGAGTCCGTTCCACTCAAGATTTACCTTAAGAAGAGTATTGTTCATTTCAATAGCTTCACCGATTGCTTCTGCTCCCTTTAGTCTTATATGATTCCAACTTAAATCCAAAACCTCAAGTGAATCGTTCTTCTTCAAAGCCTCACATATTCTTCCGACTCCCTGGTCCATCAATTTATTATGCCCCAAATACAGCTCTGTTAACGAACGAGAATTTTCAATCAGCTTTTCAAAACACTCCCCATCACTCTCGACTAAACCATTGCCTGACAAATCTAAGTATGTAATATTTCTATTTTTCATTACTGCCTCACATATGGGTCTGATACCAGCAGATTTCAAGTCATTATCAGAAATAGTAATATGTGTCAGAAAAGAGCTATTTTCTATTACTTCCGCAAAGAAGCGTGCAGGTTCAGGTCCCATACCATTTTGCCTTAAGTCAAGTTGTTCAACAAATCGATTGTTACAGAGAGCATAACATAAACACAGGCAGTCATCTTTCTGAAGATTGACATACCGACATGACAAAATTTGTTTAAGTAATCCTCTCTTGATACAAGTCAGGGGTAACAACTTATGTCGTTTGCAGGCGGTTTCGTAAACACTCACCATTTCATCTTGACTAGAACGACTATAAACCTCCTCCTCGTCATCATTATACGGATCTAAGTCATCATCAGACGACACACTCAGAGTTCGCCAAGATGAATGTAAGTTAGAGTTAGATTCAGCAGGTTCAATGTGAATTTCCGGTACTTCACACTCTTTTCGCTTCCTTTCTAAAACAACATGTTTCGCTTTACTCTGCGTTTGATTCAGTCTGTATTTCGAAGCTATCACGTGAGGTCGTTCTTTACCAAAGTCCCTGTAGGCACACATTTTAACTATGACTCTTCTCTGAAATAAAAATAAAAGATCAAATTGTACAAATTCACCATATAAGTTTGATTATGTAATAAGATAATGAGCCGCGTCAAGACAAAACCAACATAGTGCGTTTGCGGCCAGCATGGATCCATGCGCAGTCTGATCAGGATCCATGCTGTTCGCTGCCAGTTTCTCCTCTCATAATAGAGTTAATAAGCGAACAGCATGGATCCTGATCATACTGCGCAGATGCGCAGGCTGGTCTTGATCCATACTGGTGGAAAACTCACTATGTTGGTTTTGTCGTGACGCGGCTCATATGTTTGTCTTAATACTGATCGCTGTTAACCTTTTGGTCAGCTAAAACCTCCTTCATTTAAACTCATGTTTTTTTTTTTGGTTTTTTTTTGTTGTTTTTTTTTTTAAATCAAGACTTCGGGCAAAATAATAGACAATATCAAATTGCATATTTGTTTGATTGGGTTACAAGTCACATAGAAACTATAAATGTTATATGGCGACTATCTAGCTTTTATCGATAGAGAAATAAGTCAGTTGCTCCTTCGTGCATTATTTTAGGGATTATCAGGCACCTGAGTTGACCATTGTTCATTATTTCGGGGTTAGGCGGGCACCAGAGTAGAACCTTCACTAACGTAGCTTTCTAAAATAAATTAAGCTTGAAACCGTATCAGTATGCGGGCTGACATTGGTTAAAGACATATGGTTTTATATTGCATGCGTACAAACAACATGCTCATTTTGACATTGTGATGTGAAATTTATACTACATGTAGTATAAGAACTCAGTATTATCACAGTTGTTTCACGAACTCTATCTCATTTAGATATTGCGTGTTCGAATGAATGTTATTATGTTAAGTACGATTTAATAACGACTGAGGTGTATACAATGTATATTTTTACGGACAGTTGATTTATTGTCGACGTTTTCTTTACACCTATAATTTTTCAACAGAACAGAACATATTTTATTATTCAATATGACTAGAACATAACAGTTCCTCGTCATTACACAAATGTACAGAATTCATTTAAAACAAACATACAAATTTATCATTTGGTATTATCAGTCATATACATTATTCGTATTTTCCTTTCTGATACTACAGGATTTATTACAAAATATTGCTAATCTATTAAAAGTATTTGTATTACATGTATTTAAGTGATCAATAAATTTAGCCATACAATGACGCCTATAAAAGTAACGTGGTATATACAATTTTCTTAAGTCAGAATAAGTGGGACAAATTAAAACAAAATGGTATTCATCCTCTGTATCATTTACGTTGCAAAGTGTTATTTTCTTTCGGATCTCACAATATTTTTATGTCAACTATAAATAATATTCATTAAAAATAGTACCGATGACGCATGATTATCGCACGCGTGAATTTAAGTGCATTTTTTTCACATCAGAAATAGCTTTTTCACAAACATTTCGTAAAATCGCTCTTTAACTTTCTTGAAAAAAAATCTCACTGTTGCACAGCACTATATTGTGTAAGTCATGCATTGATACGAAGTTCTGACAAATATGTTAGTTTGTGATGAAAACAACATTAATAATGAGCACTGGTGTATTGTAATATAAAACTGTCGCTTTTCAGTTGATATTACAATTTGTTCCTTTACTGATCAACTAATTTTCATTTTCTTTAAATAAAGGATTTTTGCTATATTATAGATTTGTTATAATTGTTTTAGCGTTTATTATAGGCCACGAAAGATGACAAAATTCGTTACAGTTTACAATGTTGAAAAATACATCAGGTTTTATTTTCATATACAATGTAATACAATTATTGTCTCCCTTTGTTTATGATATTAACTGACTTGACTGATGTACTTAAAATGTACGCAATATATATAAATGGAACGCAATATATATAAATGGAACGCAATATATATAAATGGAACGCAATATATATAAATGGAACGCAATATATATAAATGGAACGCAAGATGAAGAATTTGATCTGAGGCCGAATTTCTGCACACTCGCAATTCACAAATAACTACAGCAATAATAAAAGTAACTAAACAGGGAAAATAGGAAATGTAAATAACAATTATTTTAATATCCTCAAGAGACAATCCTTTCTTATTATACGTTTATATGACTCTATTAAGCATCGTCTTTTTATATGATTAAATTGTATAAAAATATCAGATCTAAAAATATGACATTTTTTTCAGCTTAAATTTCTGAATATAAAGTTACCCTAGTAACAAATGACTGAAAAAGAAAGATGCAGATTTTAACTTACAATTTCTTATAGTTATAGAAGTCCACACAAATATTTCCTCTCCTTACTCTATGTACAAAAAAAAAAAAACGATTCAAATTTTTATTTTATCAAATTTTTCGTTACAATATTGCCGAGATTAATACACGTTGTTGTAAACAAACAGGGATTATCCGGGTGATAGTATTATTATCAAACATTATTATATCATCACATGGTCATCAAGTATAATCTTGCTTTAGTCAGACAATTAGATAACAGGATAAACATTTCAAATAAATAAATAAAATGAGCCGCGTCATGACAAAACCAACATAATGGGTTTGCGACCAGCATGAATCCAGACCAGCCTGCGCATCCGCTGTTCATGCTGTTCGCTATCAGTTTCTCTACTTGTAATAGAGTTGGTAAGCGAACAGCATGGATCCTGATCAGACTGCGCGGATGCGCAGGCTGGTCTGGATCCATGCTGGTCGCAAACCCATTATGTTGGTTTTGTCATGACACGGCTCAAATACGTCTCTATTTATAATGTTAAGTCGTAAGTCTTAGTATGCTTTAATTACTATACATTGTTGCAATAACAAAATATTACGGTATTTTATACTATTTAGCAAATTTTATAAAGGATAATTTGCATTATTTAATTATCGGCTATTTTATTTTCACGCCATAAATAGACATTAAGGACGGCAAAATCTACCTTGTAAGCATTTTAACTATCCTCCATACAAATAAAGATTTAGTCCATTGATAGACAAATCTATATGAAAACAAAAACAACACCTATATAATTTAAGCATTTAGCACATACATTGTATAAACCTATAAAAGAATGTACAAAAAGAAAATAAATGAACACACTTTGATTAAGAAATTTACCGCAAAACAAAATATCGATAAATGCAACGGAAAAAGAGCTTGCAAATTTTATTCAAGCAAATGGAATATAATTAATTATATTACTGTTTTATTGGCATTTAAAGATATCATCCATATTTAAAAAAAAAAGAAAAAAAAAAGAAAAAAAAAACACGCCACATTCACCTTTTCTAATTTCTGATTAGGGGAAGACGAAAATTTACAAGATTTTTCTAATTATTAAGTATTTATGCAACCGGTGTCGTAAAAATGAATACAAATGTACTAACATCCGTGTAATGTTCGACCGCAATCTAATATGTTTTCAATTCGTGTAATTAGGTTCTATACATAACAATGTCACCAATGCAATCAACGTATACAGCAAAAACAACAATGACGACGACGACACAGCAACAACAACAATCAACAACAACAACAACAACAACAACAACAACAAACATGAGTTAATATTTAACATCTAATCTAGCCTTTGTAGCGGTTACTCACGAGATGCAGACAATACCAATTCAGGGAGCGACAAAAATCTAATAAGAGATATACGAAATGTGTGAAGTTAAAAAAATAAGAAAATCTTATTGTTTATTTTATCAAGTGTTTTTTTTCCTGAGTTATTTTCAAAAACAAAATGGACATTTCAATAGATTTGCTATTTCTTGTTTTGTTTAGGAAAACACGGCAACGCACTGGGATAAAAGCCGTTAACGTCAAAAGCATCAGAATAATATCTGATAGCACCCTGTTACGGAAGTTAGACACACGTTGCATTTGAAAGATAAAACATTATAACAAGTATATACTTGTTTTCAAAATTATCCTATAGCTAATTGCAAGTCAATGGGTCATTGTTCTGTTATTATAACTTACAGAAAATCATTAATCCCCCTGAGAGATTAAAGTTTTCTTTGTGTTAAAATATGACAAGTAATACCGACAGATATAGTCTAACACCGGACAGATTGGAAAAAAAACGTTAAGCAAATATTTATGACATCAGTTTCATCGGAAATTATATGTAAAAATTATAAATTTTCTTTTATTTAAAAATTTGAAATATTTACTAACTTTTTGTATGAAATTCTCTCATCTGTTGATAGAGCGCTTTTGTACTTGGACCTACATTAAAACTTTCTTTGTTTCTCATCCCACTTTGTTGCTATATATAGGGTAGGTAGGGTAGGTAGGGAGGTAAAAATAAATATTTTTTAATGAACGTTTTTTTATTTTTTATTTTTGTAACTGAATAACATTGATTTTGAAAAACAAAGGCATACCATTATTCTCTTAAAGTACAAAATTTCAAAGTTTTTTTCAAACATCTATTCTAATACTTAAACACGAAACTGATAAAGATGTGATTCACATTGACACACTCTGTTTCCATATAAAATAAAGAAAATATTTTGTTTGGCAATTAAATAGTTATTGGGCAGCAGTGATACTAGCGGGTATGTAGTCGGTAGAGAAACACACATTTTTTTTTATTTACAGCCTTGTATCACTGTACCACATTGAGAGGTACGTAGACACATGGGTACATTGACTCGTACAGGGCTGAAAACAATATATACTACTAAATAAAAAAAGGCATTCGCATTTTTAAAATCGCTTTAAAGAAAAAGAGACGACATTTTAAACACAATAGAGTTTTTAGAGTCATTATAAATGGAAAAATTATAAAAAAATATGTTTGGGATTTTTACCTTAAAATGAGAATTGGCGAGAGAAAAAAACATAGTGGACAAAATACATGCACGAGTATATGTTATGGCACAAACTAACGGTAGGAGATAACGACAAAAAAAGGCTTCTTAAGTAATATACTTCTGATATATCATCAATCAGTATAATACTAAACATTATAAGAAATTGTTTCACTGTTGAAATCATCGAGAGAACCATTTTAAAATGTAAGTGTATTATTAGGGATATTCTTTCAAGCAGTTTTCGTATTAAGACACGATTATTTGGTATTTTTTCTTTTTTTATATTGTATATATACTATTTAGCAAATAAGAAAATATGATATAATCTTATTTTGTGAATGAAAGAATGACAAAAATCTTAAGGGTTACAACTTTATCAATTTCAACTTATCATTTAAACAATTCATTCCAGAACTAACTAACGAACGAACGGACGGACGAACGGATGAACGAACGAACAAACCAGCCAACCAACAAACTTACTACCTACCTAGCAACTATCTAGGTAATTAAACGAACGAATGAATGAATGAATGAATTAATGATTGAATGAATGAATGAATGAATGAATGAATGAATGAATGAACAGACAGACGATGGAAGGGGAAATGGAGGAAGGAACAAAGAAACAAAATGAAAGAAAAAATAAAGTTTGGACGAACAAACAAACGAACAAAGAAGCGAACGAAAGAATGAATGAATGTATGAACAAATGAATAAATAAACGAATAAATAAATAAATAAATAAATAAATAATATTAAAAAGAAAATACCTTACGGTATTACTCTGGTGAATTCAAGATACGTATTTAACACATTTTTACTAGACAACGCTTTTTTATTATTTACAATCAAGTGTTTACTTTATTGTCTGATATCAAAATTGCATTGTTGTTTTTATGCCAGTGTCCCGACCAAATGATACAACGAAACACCATAAAATTCATGTCTGGGCCAAACTACGTAACCAAGAGACCATAAAAGATCAGACGCAACCAAAATATTACAAGTATCTCGACTCCGAAAGACGTCGTATATCATTTATATAATTTACATATAAATCAGCTTGGAATTCTGTAAAAACATTATTACAGAAATATCTTTTACAGTAAAGACGCAAGATCAGCAGTGTCACTTATTTAAACTAGACAAATCTTAAGGAAATAAATTCATACTAACGTCACCAAGGGGCAGGACGTGAAGTGATTGCACACTTGGTTCAAGCGAACGAATTGGTTGCAAACTTGACAAAATGGCAAACAAGGCGAAATTTTTTGAAACGGGTGAACGAATTTTTGCCAGGCAAGTGGGTTTCTTTGTTATTTTGAAGTTCATTAGTATGTCTATTCCATAATGCAATATATATGCCACACTCGGTTTAAGGTTTCAGCATCCTAGATTCTGTTTTTGACGAAGTTATTTGAAGATATAAACTGATCATGTAGATATTTTTGAAATTTTGACATGTGACTGTTCTGGGTCGGTTTTTTCTCCTAATTTATTCGAATTTGTAAGTTTTGAACTGCATTTAACAATAACAAAATATGTTTCTGTCAATGCAGTACAAATGGTTTAGTTCGCAAGTCAGGAGATATTGTTCAATACACAAAAATATAGTGTTCAAGCACATTTTGGTTGCAGACTTATACTTCAAGCATTTTTGGTCATCATGAAAAGGGGTAATAAACATTTCGTTATAACGTTGGTTACCACGATAATGTTGATAGCCAATAAATATTATTTAGGGTAAGTGTTATGACTTCTTTAATGAACTAACTACTGTACGGTCACCAACCCGTGATACAAACCACTTGCCCCTCACTGTTGTGGGTTCGAATCCCGACAGGGACTTTGGATTCTTTAATGTGAGGAAGCTATACAGCTAGCTTACGGAACGTCGGTGGGTCTACTCGGATGCCCATTTGGCCTGAAATAGTGCACGGAAGGGCACCTGAGGTCTTCCTAATCCAGTATAGCTGGAACGTCGCCATATGACCTATACTGTGTTGGTGTGACGTAAAACCAAATCAAACAAACATGCAAACAAACCCAACCGTTAAGTGCATCTTTGAAAAGAAGTAGGAAAATCTTAACTGAGGGATTAAAACCGTATTAGTTCAACTATATGTCCCAATATAATTTAAAAGTGTAAATAGAAAAAATAAACGAAAAACTGAGTCTTTACATAGAACGTATAGACCTTTTTACAAAGCGGTCTGTTGCTATGAAAAAATGACTGGAAGTAGTATTTTCTTGCGCATGCGCAATTTGCGTAGGGCAAAAAGAGCATAGCCCTACATAGAAATGTAGTAGAAGTTCATAGACAATTCCGCGTTAGTTTAAGGTTAAAATTAGAAAAATCATATGAAATAGCTTTCAACAGAAACACAAAAGATGCCTATATAGCTTTTTGACCAAGATTGCCATAAAAAGGCACGGAAAAGACGAATGTTTAAGAATTCCCCCTTAGTTATGATCAAGGACCTGACACTGAGATTATTGTTGTAAAAAAATGTGGAAA